CCCCCCGTCTTCCCTTCCACCCCTGAATGGGTCCCGATCTTGCCCTCTTCACCCCTGTTAAGGCCGGTGTGGTGTCGCATTCACTTGGGCAGTATCCTCCTCGATGGCCTCCTTGTTCCAACCCACAGTTTGCTTTTGGTTTCTTTTCTCTTTCTTTTGGGTCAGTCGTGGGGCTTGAACTCTGGGCCTGGGCGCTGTCCCTCAGCTCCTCAGCTCAAGGCGAGCGCTCTACCACTTGAACCACAGTGCCACTTCGGTTTTCTAAGTGGTTTATTTGAAGATAAAAGTCTTATAGGGCTGGGAAGGTGGCTCAGTGGTAGAGCGCTTGCCTTGCATGCCTGAGACCCTGGGTTCGATTCCTCAGCACCATATAAGCAGGGGAAAAAAGCTGGAAGTGGCTCTGTGGCTCAACTGGTAGAGTGCTAGCCTTGAGCTGAAGAGCTGAGGAACAGTGCCCAGGCCCAGAGTTCAGGCCCCACGACCGGACCAAAAAAAAAGGCTTACAGACTTTCCTTCCCCTGGCTGGCTTTGAACCACCAGCCTCAGATCTCAGCCTCCTGAGTAGCTAGGATGACAGACGTGAGCCACCAGTGCCTGGCTTGTTTTGGTTTCTTCAATGAACAGTTTCCCCCTACTCTTGAGCTTTGTATGTGCTCTTCCCTCCTTCCTGGAACTTCTCTTCATGAGAATGACCAGAGTTCAGCCAAAGCATAGCTTACATGAGACTCTTTAAGTGAACTTGCTTATTACTCTTAGGACAGCCAGCCTCAGTGGTGTGTGTCTGTTAGTTACTGTGATCATCTGGTTTCTTGATGTGTTGTTCAAACAACCACCGAAACTCACTAAGCGCTGTGACAGGAGGACCGCCTGTGGTTTTGGCCCCCAAGCAGCCCTTGGTCGATGCTGGGTGAGGAAGGACCGGGCCGCTGCTGGTCTGGCGGGCGTGGTGTTATGGCCTGGTGAGCCCGTCCCTGCGGGCCCCGGGTTACAGCCGTGTCTGTCACGCAGGACGTGCCGGATGACCTGGACGGCGCGCCCATCGAGGAGGAGCTGGACGGCGCGCCGCTGGAGGACGTGGATGGGGTTCCCATCGACGCCACGCCCATCGATGACCTCGACGGGGTTCCCATCAAGAGCCTGGACGACGACCTGGACGGCGTGCCCTGTGAGTTCACGCGTGGGCACCTCCACACCTGCCGCCTCCCTGTGCCACCCCTACGCGCCTGACCCCGACGCCCGGCCGCACGCTTGCCGCCTCCGCTCTCCGAGTGCCACTTCCTTTGCTTAGCTTTTGCTTAGCTTTTAAGTAATTGCATTAGGAGTTTGTCTTTTTTCTTTTTTTTGGTGTGAGTCCTGGGGCTTGAACTCAGGACCTGGGCGCTGTCCCTGAGCTGCTTTTGCTCAAGGCTGGCGCTCTACCCCTTGAGCTACCGTGCCAATTCCAGCTTTTTCTGTGTATGTGGTGCTGAGGAATTGAACCCAGGGCTTCATGCACGCGAGGCCAGCACCTGTATGCGTGCTGTTCAGGTCACCCACTGCAGTTGGAGGTAACGGTTCTTCTCTCTCCAACAGTGGACGCTGCTGAAGACTCAAAGAAGAGCGAGCCCATATTTAAGGTGGCCCCATCGAAGTGGGAAGCGGTAGACGAATCTGAACTGGAGGCACAGGGTGAGTGGGCCTTTCTAGAACTCCAGGCCCGAGACGCTATCCGTGACTAGTGCTAGCCTGGCACGTGCAAGGACCCGGGCTCCAGCCCTATTCCTTGGACGGAGGGCGTGTTTGCACACGGCTCCCTGCTGTTTCTGGGCGTGGATTTTCCTTCTGTATATGCAGTGTTCGTTGGTCTTCAAACTCGACGTTACTGTATTTTATGTCCAGGCTGAGCTTTCACTGTGACTGGTGTTGCAGTAGTGGAGGCTTTTTGAGAGTGGTGGTGAATTATCCAGACCTTTCAGGTGAACGCACTGTGATAGGAAATGTGCGGATGTACTTAGAGGTCAGTTTCAGAGAAGCCACCTGGACGCTCCCATAATGCTTAGTAGTTGCAGACGAGTTTTGGACCCGTATACTTGGGCTTCATTGTTCATAGTTGTAGGTTCTATCAGATCTTACCATCTGACACAGAAATGACAAATTTTTTTTGTTACTTCATTGTAGTAGAGGTGTGAGTAAAGAGAGATTTATTCAGCACATAGAATTGGCTATTCAGAGAATAAACAAAGATAAAAACTTGTGTAATTAAAAGCTTCACTGCTAAAGCTGGGCTTGTGTGCTGCTGTAAAAACCTAATTTCCCTTACGGAATTTCATCCTTTTCCCTCTATTCAGCTGTAACAACTTCTAAGTGGGAGTTATTTGACCAGCACGAAGAATCAGAAGAAGAAGAAAATCAAAAGTAAGAATCTAAGTTTCGAACATACTCGATTTCTCGTGTACATACTTTCCTTTTCATTAGTGCTCTGGTGAAAGTCCCGTGAGGAGGGAAACTTCCTTTTAGAAATTTGGGAGGAGGATTGCTTTGACTCTTCCATTGTTTTTCCAGTGAATAAGTAAGAGTTTGGTTTCTGGTCTTCATCTCATTTCTCGTTGCCCTAACTTTATGTGTTTAAATGTAAACATTTCAGAAGAACTAAGAATAAAGGAGAAAACCCCAATTTCTTGGAAATATAAAGAAAGTTTTACTTTTGCTCTGGCACTCAAGTTGTTACTAACAGGTGGTGGTCGATACATTTGTAGCGATAATTTTTAGGAAGTACTGGACACTTCTTAGGCAGTCATTAGGGTGGAAACTGAGTTTCCAAATAGGAAGAAACTGCACCGAGCACAGTCTTTAAAGTATATTTCAGTGTTCTCAAGTAGAAGGAGGAGCAGAGAGAAAGCCCCTTTGTGTTCTAGCACAAAATGTGCATTTGTGTGGCTTCAGGAACGGGCCTCTGGATTGTGAAGTTAGAAACGTGATCGGTCGGCAGTTGGTAGGAGCGGTTTGATGTAGAGAGGTTGGTGCTCATTACGGAAAATACTTACAAAATGGAGATGTGGCTTTCTCTTGGAAATAGTTGAGATTGTTGAGGACAGGAGGTGGGGAAAATGTAGTGAGTTTGCTTATTGAAACTTAAAACTTTCTATGTCCACGATCCTTTCGTTACATTAATAATATTTCAGGATTTGGGGATCATTGCTTTAAACTGTATATTGAATTCATAAAAGAATTACTTAATTTGTAAAGAAAGAGGAGAAGTCAGGAAAGCCATCAGAGAACCAAAAAATAGTTTTTAGTTGGTTTTATTTCTAAAGCTATTAGGTTTTTTGTCATCAAACTGATACTTCCATTAACGTTTAGAATATGAATGCAGTTTTAGTGTTGTTGTTGCACTAACCACTCAGAGAAGCACGGATCAATAGAGAGGTGATTAAGATATGTGAGTTTTCTTAGGAACTTCAGATCAATCATGAACATGTTTAAATAAACATGATGGAGCCACAAAGCAAGGAGAAACTGCAGTATGAGGGATTTTCTCAGGCCTCACTGCTGCTCTCTAGTGCCTGAATCAAGCGCTGCCTTTCTGTGTAGGCTGCTTTATGTCACGTTATTGCACATTTTTGTGAGGTTTTTTTTCAAGTATAGCACTTGTAATACTTTTGAAAAAGACAAATCCTCCAAAGAAGCCTCATTTGTAATAAATTTTGTCTGGATTTAGGTGCTTTTTTTTTTTTTTAAGTGCTAGGGGCTGGGAAGGTAGAGGGGGCTCAGTGGTAGAGCACTCGCCTGACATGCATGAGGCCCTGGGTTCGATTCCTCAGCACCACATAAGCAGAAAAAGCTGGAAGTGGCGCTGTGGCTCAAGTGGTAGAGCGCTAGTCTTGAGCTGAAGAGCTGAGGGACAGCGCCCAGGCCCAGAGTTCAGGCCCCACGACCGACAAAAAAAAAAAAAAAATAATAAAAGAAGTACAGTAGGAAGCTGTGTTAAGTAAAGTCTGAACCTAGAATTAGTAACTAAGAACCAAGGCCAAAACTAATGAGAACGAACTGCTCAGGCCTTGAGATATTACAGGAGAAACTTAAAACATGTGCATAGCAAAAAATGACCAAAGTCGTGTAGCTCGTTTTCCAAATCTTCCTCTGCACGGACTAGAGCTAGTCTTGCTGTAGGGCTGCCGCTGCTCCCGCCAGGCTGTGGCTTTGCATGTGACACTTTGCATTCCTGTGGGACTTGTCCAGGGGTGTCGCTCAGGGTTTTGTTTCCTTCACAGCTGACTTAGAGCCATTACAACTGTCAGAATCACCTGTAACCTGAGTACCGAGAGTTACGTTGCAACTCAGCCTTTTCTGGAGGAGAAAAGCCTTTCACAGACCTGTCTATAAAATAGCATTTCGTTAAATATTTTGCAAAAAAAAAAAAAAATTCTCTGCTGAGTTGGCCTCGTGTTACTTATGCTGGACAGGGAACAGCTGGGACTGTAGAAGAAGGCTTTCTGTCTGTTTCTGTCTTGACATATAATGTACTCTTACTTCCAAAGTCAAGAAGAAGAAAGTGAAGATGAAGAAGATACCCAGAGTTCCAAGTCTGAAGAGCATCATTTGTACTCCAACCCCATCAAGGAAGAGATGGCTGAGTCCAAGTTCTCTAAGTACTCGGAGATGAGTGAGGAGAAACGAGCCAAGCTTCGAGAGATCGAGGTAGGAGGCGTCGCCTCGGCCTCGGCTCCTGCGGCCCCGGAGCCTTCCGGGCCGGCCGCAGGCTCCTGCCGCAGGCTGCTGCTTCCCCAGTGTGATGCCCACGTTGTGTGTCATGCATTTTGTGTTGTGTGTCATGCATTTTGTGTTGTGTGTCATGCATTTTGTGTTGTGTGTCATGCTTTTTGTGTTGTGTGTCATGCATTTTGTGTTGTGTGTCATGCATTTTGTGTTGTGTGTCATGCATTTTGTGTTGTGTGTCATGCTTTTTGTGTTGTGTGTCATGCATTTTGTGTTGTGTGTCTTGCTTTTTGTTTTCTGGCTTGCGTCTGTCTGTCCTTATTTAGTGTCTGTCAGTGCATCCATCTATCCTCTGGCACGGGGCATACTGTAGGAGATGCGCTGAAGAAACGCATCTGAGTTCACATTAGGATGCCTGTAATACGGCACGTGACTAGGAAGGCATAAAATGTTTCGGGTAGGTCAGAGTGATGTTTACATTGTATTCTGGTCCGCACTTCGAATCATGAAGTGGAGAGGGGCAGTGTATGGACCAGTCCTAACTCAGGGCTTTGCTCTCTCTCTCTCATCTCTTCTTTCTTATCCCTTCTATCTTGTTTGTTCAGAGACGCCAGAGCAGGCTTTTCTGTATTTTAGCTTTGGGTAATATTAGGGATTGAATCCAGAGCTTTGACCACACCAGGCGAGGGCTCTTACAACTTGAGCCAGGTCCTCTAGCCTTAGTTTGCGTTTTGTGTCTGAGATAGAGGGTCTTGTGAGTTTTTCTCTGGCCAGTTAGTTTTATTATATGCTATAGCTTTTCTTTTTAAAATCTATTCTGTCCTGTGAAGTACCTGTGGCTAACATTTTTTTAATGCTGAGATTAGTAACGTGCCAAGGATTCGTGTTGCAAAATACTGACACCCTGCACAAAAACCAAGTGCTTTAGCGACACTAGACACTACTGTGCGGTGTTCCTGTTCGGTGGCGGTGCAGTGCTGACCAGGGCACTGCTGAGCACCGTCCTAGGCTACGTGGCGCTCACTTTTCATGTGATGCAGCCCCATTTCCAGAATGGTGGGTGGGGTGCCAGGAGGGGAAAGCAGCCCTTCGGGCGTTGGTGTGGAACTGTGACCCCAAGGCAAGGGGCGTGCAGGCGGCTTAAGCCACCACAGATGGACGGCTTTTTTTTTGGTTTGGTCATGGGACTTGAACTCAGGGCCTGGGTGCTGTCCTTGAGCTCTTTTTGCTCAAGGCTAGTGCTGAACCACTCACAGCTCACGACCAGTTTTCTGGTAAGTTATTTGGAGAAGAGTCCAACTGACTTTCCTGCCCAGGCTGGCTTTGACCTGGACCTGTCTTCTCTCAGCCTCCTGAGCAGTTCGGATTATAGTTGTAAGCCGCTGGCTCCCAGCTTAGTATTTGAGTTTTTTACTTAGTAATGAAAGGTTTGAACGTATTTTAATCTCAGGAGTGAATGTATTCATTTTGCCTGTTCCAGTCTTCCTGTTTTTGTGCATGCTTTCAGATGTTAGCATGTGGAACTGGTGCTACTCTATTTGGTGGGAAACACTTACTTTAAACGTGTCTTATTTCACAGCTCAAAGTTATGAAGTTTCAGGATGAATTGGAATCGGGAAAAAGACCTAAAAAGCCAGGCCAAAGTTTCCAAGAGCAAGTAGAGCACTACAGAGATAAACTTCTTCAACGAGTAAGGAATAAATACATTTAATCATATGCATCCAAAGGCTTTCCAGCGTGGCTGATGATATGTACTTGAGGAAAATGCATTGGGAATGGGGTCCTGTGATTTGTACACACTGAGTATTGTAGCAGACCCACATTTGAAATGGGTGGGTTTTTGTCTGTTTGGTTTTTTACACAGACTTTCAGTTTCATTGACAGCTGCAAAGTTACAGGAAAGTTCCCAAGATAACATACTATGCCCCTTACCTCCCTCGCCCGCCGTCCTGTAGGGACTTCATACCTTCTTTTCCCGCCAGGGGACGCCTGCAGATGCAGGTGCAACCAGGTAGAGTGTGTGCTCCCTGGAGGGCCCACTCTTCAGAAAGGTCCACCTGGCGGGGTGGGCCTTGTGCTGCCAGCCAGTTCCTACTGAGAGCTGTTGGGGGCCAAGGGTAGTCTCATTACCATGGACGGTTGGATATTTTTCAAACATTTTGGCATGATCAAAGCAGCTGGCTAGGTCTTGGGTAATCTCTGAGGGCTGGATGAGTTCCGGTAAGGGCTTGCCCTCACATCGGGAAGGCGCACTTACGTAAGCAGGCAGCTCCGAGAGGGGTGCGGGGCCCCATCACCAGGAGGGAGCGTGGGCAGAGCTCTGGGGAGATGGCAGGCTTTCGGGCACCGTGCACGAGCTGACACGGGCTGTGAGCGTTAGCGGTCAGTTCCCTGCAATGGTAGATGCCTTTCTGAAAATGGAGCTCCAGCTTGATGAGTGGCTCACAAAAAAATGTGTCTGGGCTGGGAAGGTGGCTCAGTGGTAGAGCACTTGCCTTGCATGCATGAGGCCCTGGGTTCGATTCCTCAGCACCACATAAGCAGAAAAAGCCGCAAGTGGCTCTGTGGCTCAAGTGGTAGAGTGCGGGCCTTGAGCTGAAGAGCCGAGGGACAGCGCCCAGGCCCAGAGTTCAGGCCCCACCACTGATGAAAAGAAAAAGACAACCTAGAACAGAACGTGTGGGTACGTAAATGGGATAAGTCTAGGTTGGCACTTTAAAACTAACTTCAAGTATTTTCTTCTTCCAAAACCAGGAGAAAGAGAAAGAATTAGAAAGAGAACGGGAGAGAGACAAGAAAGATAAGGAGAAGTCGGAATCTCGAACCAAAGACAAGAAGGAGAAGGAGGAGTGCACGCCCACGCGGAAGGAGAGGCACGTGGCGCGGCGTTGGCGGGGCTCCCGCGGGCTCGGGCGGGGGGGGGGGGGGCGTCGGCCACGCCGGCCACGACACGCGCCGTCCGTGCCGGCAGAGCCGAAGCGGCTTCATGGCGGGCATTCCACGCTAAATACGCTGAAGTGGCGCTGTGGCTCAAGGGGTAGAGCGCTCGCCTTGCATGCATGAGGCCCTGGGTTCGATTCCTCAGCACCACATACACAGAAAAAGACGGAAGTGGAGCTGTGGCTCAGGTGGTAGAGCGCTAGCCTTGAGCTGAAGAGCTGAGGGACAGCGCCCAGGCCCAGAGTTCAGGCCCAGGACTGACCAAAAAAAGAAAAAAGAATATTTGGTCGATAAAATTCTCTTAACCATGCTCACTTGATCTTAATAACAGTAGCACATCAGAGCCGGCTCACGCCTGTCGCTCTAGCTACTCAGGAGGCTGAGCTCTGAGCATCGCGGTTATCCCCAGGGAACCACCCAAAAAGCAGACGTGGCGCTGTGGCTCAAAGTGGTAGAGCGCCGGCCTAGAGCTGAAGAGCTCAGGGACAGCGCCCAGCCCCGAGTTCAAGCCTTACAACAACATCTCATTGAACATCCCGGCAGTCTGTCTTGTAGCAAATAAAAATCCAGGTTATCTGAGTTCAGCTGAAGGCCTGTCTGGAGGCCCGTTCCTGCTGGACAGGCTTTGGATGTGGTCAGTGGGGTGCAGTCAGTCCAGTGGTGGAGTCGCTAGCCAAGGCAGGAAAGGCGCAGGAGCGCGCGCACTTGTGACGTGTTTGGGGACTTTGTTCGGCAGGAAAAGGCGGCACAGCAGCTCCCCCAGCCCCTCGCGCAGCAGCAGCAGCCGGCGGGTGAAGTCCCCGTCCCCCAAGTCGGAGCGGCCGGAGCGGCCCGAGCGATCCCACAAAGAGAGCTCTCGGTCCCGGACATCTCACAAAGACTCTCCCCGAGATGTTAGCAAAAAAGCCAAAAGGTAAATGCAAGTCCTTTTCACAAACCGTACTTCAGATACTAGCTTCCTTGCCATCCCACCAGATCGTGAAAATAATCTGGTTATCAAATCAAACCGCCTTTTAAAGAATCTCAGAAAACCAGGGAGATGTGCTTTTATTTTAGGTTATTTCTCTCCACCCCTATCCCAGTCTCATGACTAAAGTAAAAGAAGACTTCTCACAAGTTCAAGACCAGCCAAGAATTTTACACATAACGCATTGTGTCTGGGGGGCCGGGCGGGGCGGGTGGGGGAAACGCCTGCTCTGCTTTCACCTCACTGTTTGTTTCTGTAGAATATGAAGGAAAAGCTATTTTCCCTCAAAGGAATATTGTTAGCATGTTTGTAAGTAGAGATTTGTGGAAATAAATACCAGAAATACTATTTACACCATTTCTTCAGTAATTTAGTGTTTCATACATTTTATTTAAACCTTTTGGTTCCAGGAAAGTGGCTCAGAAATGCTTTACTTATTAAAGAGAAGAGTTTTCCTGAGAGCTACAACTGCTTTATGTGCTAACACTTTTGAGTGACAACTTCCTCCTTTTCTAAATGGCACTGCATACGCGTGTATGTGTACGTTCATGTATATCTGTTTGGAAATCTTCAGGAAAACCATTGCAACGATGCTACTGTAGCGAATGCTTTTTTCAAGATAATTTTATCTGCAAATTATCTTTTCTTCAAAGAGAACTATGTACTGTGTATTTTTAAAGGATTTTGTGGATGATCCTAGGTGCCATCTTGAACTCGATCTTCTAGACTAGAGGTTCAGCCTTGGGGCTTTTTCGCACACAGGCTCTAGGGTTGCAGGGTGCAGCTGTGGAGTCTGTCTCCGCAGATCCGCAGGTGCTCTGCCGATGAGGGTCAGTGCAAGTGCGCCCGTGTGCTCTTTGTGAGCAGAGTATAAATTTGAGAGGTTGAATCGTGTTGATTTCAGTCACTTTTATTGTGCCCACTTACAGACATTGTAGACAATGTAACGGTAAGCCGTTGTGGTGCTTGGTGCCTTGATGGATTGGTTTCTTGTCTGTTTGTTTCCTCAGATCACCGTCTGGCTCAAGGACACCCAAAAGGTCTAGGCGGTCACGGTCTAGATCCCCTAAAAAATCAGGGAAGAAGTCCAGATCTCAGTCCCGCTCTCCACACAGGTCTCATAAAAAGTCAAAGAAAAACAAACACTGACATAACGTTTTTAAGATGCTGCCACTTCTTGGAAATGCAATTTTGTTTTGTGCCTGAATGGTCTGGTTTTTTTTTTTTTTAAGAAAAAAAAAACAAAAAACAAAAAAATCAAATGAAAGCATTCCTGGGTTTTTTTGTTTGTTTGTTTGTGAATGCATGTGTAAACTCACGAGTAACTGCATCTGTAGATTTGTCGTTGTTTTATATTGTACAAACTACTTTCGTTGTGGCTGTTTCTCCAGATGAAATTTTTACTGTGCCCATGAATTTCATCAGAAGTGTGTATAACGGATCTGCTGGCGGTAGTAGTATTCTGTTTTAGGATGTGACTTAGCAAAAATAATACAGATGTCGCCCCCTTTTGTAGCTTTGACAATTTGAATTAGATTTCAAATAAAATCTGAACAGAAAAGCATAACGTTGTTTTCTTGCCCAGTGCTCCCGAGTGAATCTGGTCCCGCTGTCGCTTCTGACACATCACGCATGCACGGTGCGGGCTCCGGTGCGGAGTGGCTCGAGTCTGGTATTGACTGATGGCTGTAGAAGCCTGCTTGCTGAGCAGGCTCGCTCGCTGCACGGTTTAGTACGGTGCCCTGGAGGGGCCTCGACCCGAGACCGGAAGACTGAGGGCTGTCACCTGCCATTGGTTCCCGGAGGGGAGGCCTTTGCGCCTCCCGGAGCCCGGGCCCTGCGCGGCCCTGTGCTGTTAGGGGAAAAGGAGACCTTTGTTGATTTTTTTTTTTGTATCTGCTTATCATGAAGGAAGGTTTATTTATAAGAGAAATTTTGTAACTAGCTCTGACCATAGAATTCTTTTGTATACGAGTTGCCTTTTTATAATCTGTAGTCTTGGTTTTCAAATCCTAGTATCTAAGTGTTTGTACACATTTGTGTTTAAAACACCGTTAATTATCTTCTGGAAGGATCTGGGTGTAGGTGTAGCTGTGAGGAAAAGTTTTTAACATCAAGTGGTCTTCCAGCGTTTCAACACCCAGTGGTTTGTAAATTCCTGAGGTCCGCGGTGACGGGGTGAGGCGGAGCGGGAAGGCGTGGAATGTTGGTGGACCCTGTGTACCTGTGACGTAATACAGGGCTGCCTGGACCCTGTGTACCTGTGACGTAATACAGGGCTGCCTGGACCCTGTGTACCCGTGACGTAATACAGGGCTGCCTGGACCCTGTGTACCCGTGACGTAATACACGGTTGCCTGGACCCTGTGTACCTGTGACGTAATACAGGGTTGCCTGGACCCTGTGTACCCGTGACGTAATACAGGGTTGCCTGGACCCTGTGTACCCGTGACGTAATACAGGGCTGCCTGGACCCTGTGTACCCGTGACGTAATACACGGTTGCCTGGACCCTGTGTACCTGTGACGTAATACAGGGTTGCCTGGACCCTGTGTACCCGTGACGTACTACAGGGCTGCCTGGACCCTGTGTACCTGTGACGTAATACAGGGCTGCCTGGACCCTGTGTACCTGTGACGTACTAAAGGGTTGCCTGGATCCGCACCAGCACCGCTTGTCAGTCTCGCTTCCAGAGATTTCACTCACTGAACACGGTGCCCCTGTCAGAGGCAGCAGAGAACGATCCTCAGAATGGGCAGCTTTGACCCATCTCTCAGAGCTCTTTATCTTCCATTTGTTCCCGTCTCCTGACCCCAGCATCAGAGTCTGTGCCTGTGTTTGGGGGTGTGGACCAGCCAAGCAGAACGGGGCAGACGCGTACAGGAACCTCTGGAGGAGCTCACCCCGTTCTTACACGTGTGGGCCGTTGCACAGGCTCCATCCTTGGCCATTCTTCATCCATTTCCTTTGGGATTGTTCCTTTCTACACGTTGCTCAGAATGATGAGTGTGACCGTTGGATGCTGATACTTAAAACACTGTAACTACTGTCCTTTTATAAAAATCTACCTGTATTCTGTGCAGAACGAATTGCCATGCTGAATTGCTGGTGCTTTGGTCATCTTGTACAGGCTTGGAAATAGTTTGGTCAGTCAAGTTGCTGCCCGCCCCTTCCTTAAGACAATTCTGTAAAACAATCCCTGGGCATGCAGAAGTGAGTAGACAATGTTAGGCTGGTTTTAGGGTGCTTTATGTGTAATGTGTTTTTCTACCCTAGTGCAATCTAGTAGCTTCCTCTCTCTGGATCCAGGTAGAGCTGTTTGTTGGTCTTGCGGTAGAGTTCACTGGCTTCCTTGGGTTGGACTTGCTTAATACCTGCATAAGAGGATACTGCATTTGGTTTTCTTGAACTGCAAAGGCATTCATTAGGTCGGTGGTGTTTCCGTTTTACTTGGTGAGGAACAGCATCTAGAGGAAGCTTGTTTGCTGCTTTCCCCATAGATTTCAGCGAGGCATGCGGGGCAGTTCCGGCACCTGAGGCTGCGGTGGGCAGGATCTCTTGAGCTCAGGAGTTCGAGACCAGAGTGGACAGCATTTCAAAAAAAAAAATCATACTCTGTCGCTGTTGTATGAAAGTTGAATTGGATGAGAAATCAGTGACTTGTAAGGAGGCAGACGTTTTATTGTGTTTTTATATCTCACCTAAAGAGCCCTTACACTTACATAGATTCCTATAGGTTGACTAAAATCTTCTAGTTACAGGGAAGACCGGTGCTGCCTGGGAATGGACGCCACGGCCCTGCGCAGTGCGGACTGCCCTCACAAAGGGTGTGGGTGAATGTCCCCCCCCCATGGCCCTCACCCCACAAATGTGCTGGACTAACCCAGGCGAGAAAGAGACAAAGAAATAAATGTCCCTCTATTGGGAAAAAGGTGTCGGTGTGTCTTTTCTTCGCCCTTGTATTTCCCGAACTGCAACAAGAAAAAGATCTCAGAAGTTGGAGATGAACGAGCTCACGTAACAGCCCCCATCCAGAAGAAGGCTTTGATTTGTCCGCGTCGTTGGCTGTTTCTGCAGAAGTTTGTGGAAACGGCTCCTGCGGGCTCACCCGACACTGACCCCGGTCTTGCAGCATTCCCGTGTTGACTTGGGTATTTTTTTTTCCTCCCTCCAAACTTGAATATATTCTTGGGCACTTGGACATATGGCAGAGAAATTTTGTTCCTGATTAAGTGTGAGTTTGTTAGAAATACTCTGCACACGCCTGCCTTGCTGCTGGCTTAAGTTCTGAGAGATGACACGGCCGTAATGATGACTTGTTATTAAAAATACGCAAAAGCGACGTGAAACTAACAGTTGCTTTTACAAATAAATATGCTGCTCTGTTGCTGCTTGTTCGGTTACGCATAGCCAGCAAGTTGCATCGTCTTCCACGTGCTCGTCTTGGGATCGGTTCTTTATTATCCCTGGGCGGCGGCTTATTTCTGTTGCCAACCATGTACCCGGATATTCCCTGGGGGAAGTGTCACGATGGGAGGTGCCACGGGCTGCGGTTCACGAGTGGGTGACAGACGCCGCCTGTACTCAGTCACTTGTAGCGTGGCGTAGCTCAGGATGCAATGCTGCCAGCTCGCTTCCGCCGCCTTGTGCTGTGTGTTTGGGTTGTACCTTTCCAACGGGCCTCATGATTCAGAGTGCCAGAGAGAGACATGTTTTTGTCTTCTGGAAAGGAGGGTAACTAGAGTTGGAATCAGCGCAGCCAAAAATGGCAGGACAGCGTTTCTCAGGTGATTCCAGGACCCCGTGGCGGGGACGGAGAGCAGACTCACCGCGGAGGTCTTCTCCCAGAAGATCTTCCGCTGCGTCGCCGACACTGCCCTTTGTGGTCGCTGGCTCTGAACTGCCGTCATCACCTAGGTGGTTTTCCTGGCAAGGAGTCAGCGTGCTCGCGGGTCTGCGGCCATGTGTGCTGCTGGCCCAGTTGGCTGTGCTCGGCCCGTGCTTGTCACGGAAGCTAACTACCTGTACTGCGAGCGTTCAGCCATTTTCCTGACGGGTGATTCCTCATTCAAACATAAAAAGAAAGTGGTAGAACGCCATCCACCCTCTACCCTCCAGCCTGACGCTGTGTGTCCCTTTGCCTTTTTTATTTTTATTTTTTGCCAGTCATGGGGCTTGAACTCTGGGCCTGGGCGCTCTTCAGCTCAAGGCGAGCGCTCTACCACTTGAGCCACAGTGCCACTTCTGGCCTTTTCTGCTTCTGTGGTGCTGAGGAATCGAACCCAGGGCCTCATGCTTGCGAGGCAAGCGCTCTACCACTGAGCTACCTTAACATGACCTTAGTATTGTTGACATGTTAAAAAAATAACCCGCTGGCTCTCCCCTGAGCTTCTGTACTTGGTTTTGGTTTGGTAAAGCATGTTTCGCTGGGGGTGGCTGAACGCACACCGTTGCGCAGTCGGTCTCCGTCAGTTTTCCGTGGTGCAAAACTGAAATGCTACACTCCTTAAAGGGCCCCCTCTGTGCTCTCCCCCCGCCCCCCCCCCCCCAGCCTGCGCCGTGGGTCATCCAAGGATGACCTCTCAAGACTGAGACTGTTGGGCTGGGGATGGAGGGGGCGGCCGGTGGGCCTGTGGCCTCTGCCTCTGCCCCCTGCAGACAGCCCTGCTTGCCAGCATGTGCCCCAGGGCCGGGGAGCGGCTTTGGGCCAGGCCCAGGGCACCTGCGGATGCCTACCTGCGGGGGAACTGTCACCTAAGAAGGGAGGGACAGGAGCCCCTGCGGAGCACCGGTCCCGACCTCCACCTTGGAAGTACATTTGCTGTCCATGGACTGCAAGTTTCTCAGGGTCACATGACCGTTTTGTGCCAGACTCAGTCCCCAGCCCCAGTGGGTGACGCAGCTCTACACTCCCTGTGGAAGTCACTTCAGCCAGCCGGGCCTGGCCCGTGATCCTCTTTTATTTGCGGGTAATTATGGAGACACAGATGTGCCAACGTTGCTGGGAAAGAGTATAAAGGATCCGTGCAGCCAGCTTGGTCTGCCAAGTCCAGACGATCGCTTCCCTTTCCTCCCCCCTGCCCGCTTCCAGCACATCCCCCGTGCGGCGGTTTCCACTTGTCTCTGGGCAGGGTCTCGTGCTTTTTGCTGGCTCAGGCTTGGACCGCAGTCCTGCCTTTGCTTCTGGGGTAGGTGGGGATTACAGGGATACCATCCGTTCTTGGCCGTGCTGTTTTACCATGTCTTCTAGAGCAACCTTTTCCCACGTCGCCAGCTCTAGGCTTCAGTGACGCCAAGCGGACACTGTGGATTACGGCTGGCTCGCGCATCTCTTCAGCGCGTTTGCACGCACTGGTGTCACGCCGTTGATCTTGCTGTCTTGAACACTTCCCCACGGCCTGTTAGGTGGCCGGCTGCATGCGTGCTTTCCGAGCAGGTGATGGGGGGCGGTGTGAGGAGGTGTGCCGGGCGCGTGGGCAGGGCTGGGTGGCGGCGTGGCGCAGCAGCGGCGTGCGTGCCGGTGTCGTCACTTCCCACAGACCCAGCGGCAGCTGCTGCGGCCGG